CCTTCCTTCCTTCCTTCCTTCCTTCCTTCCTTCCTTCCTTCCTCTCTCCCTCCCTCTCTCCCTCCCTCCCTTCTTCTTTCACCTTACTGCCTTCCTCTCTTTCTCATAGGAAATTCCAAGGACGCACTAGAATTTTCAGCTTGTATGAGTGGTCAAAAGCATACTGCACTCAATGCCCGCCTGGTTGTAAACAGACGTGAGGAAATGGGACATCTCACCATGCAAGCGTCTAACCAAAGTCTGAATCTGAAGGCCCATGGCTGTTGGGATCTTGTCATGAAGACTGAGGTGGGATTCCATTTAGCACACAAGGAGCTGGTCTCTCTCTCCCTCCCTCTCTCTCTCTCTCTCTCTCTTATTCAAATTCATAAACACCAAACCAATAAACAAACTTAGTTTAAAAAATAAATAAACATAAGCAGTTGTAGAGATGCAACTACAGTATTAGGTTAGTAAACTGACCTGGTTAACCATTTGGGCCAACGCTATAATGTGCTGCAGCTCCGATTTAGGAAAATCCCTGGATAAAGGCCTCTCTCCAGCAAATGAATCTTTAATTGTGGTAATTAGATACAACTAAATTGAATTTGACTCTTAGTGTCTGTACAGTATATCCATTTTTTGTCACTTTGATCAATCTTTAGTTGTAACTCATAATCTTTTGATGAACATTCCAGATATCTCCTTAATTTTATTCAGTGTCTTCTCATTCCTCCAGTTCCTTCAACCTTGCCAAGGATAGTTATTTTTTTAATCCATCTGCTTTGCATGCTCAAAATATATCAATGTCTGCTTACTGGTCTTTATCTCATATGTCAACCTTTATTTGTTCAAGACTAATTAATTACTTCTTCTTGCAGTCCAAGACAAATCTATAATTTTAAGGCATTTATCTTCTTTCTTTCTCGGTGTCCAACTGTTTCAGTTTTTAGCTTTAGCACCGGAAGGACCATTAACTACCATGATATTTATTGTCATTGAAATGTCCTGATCAATGTTTATTCCAAATCAGATCAACCTGTTGCCTCAATTTGACTCCAGAGATATGTGTTCTGCTCTGCTTCTTCAGCTAATAAACTATATTAACCACCCTAAGCGTCTTTCCGGTTCTTACAGTCAAAACTGGGTGAGATTACGTCTGATCTCCAGCGCAGACTGGTGGAAAAAATAAAAAAATTGGAGGAACACATTCAGGATTTCAGAAAATCGGTAAGATATTAGTACGGATTGTGTATGTATGTGAATCTCATTTTTCAGCACCAAACTTTGTAGTTTGATCTTTTGTCCAAAGAGATAAGCTTATTTCCAAAGAAATCTCTGGATTCCGTTCTGATTTTCTAACAACACTTTGAATCCTGGATCAAATTTAGATTTATTTTCTTGGAAAGAAAAATTATGCTGCTCCCTGATGTCTATCAATTTCAGATATCCACTTCTTTTTAAAATAATAATAATAATTTGAGGTAGTTCTAATGACTATGGTAGTTGCCATAGTCATTAAATGTGAGGACTGGTCATACGTCAGTTTTTTTTTCAGTGCCATTGTAATCTGGGATGGTCACTAAACAAGTGCTTGTAAATCCAGGACCACCTGTAAAAGGATCCTTAACCATTTTAAATTCAGGGATGCTGATAACCTAGTAAACATGAAAGAATAGATTTGGGAACACACTCAAATTCACAGGCATGTTTGACTGTTTTGAGTGCGAGAGAGACACAGAAAGCCAGAGAACAGAATAGAATAACAGAGTTGGAAGGCACCTTGGAGGTCGTCTAGTCCAACCCCCTGCCTAGGCAGGAAACCCTACACCACTTCAGGCAAATGGTTGTCCAATCTCTTCTTAAAAACTTCCAGTGTTGGAGCAAGTCAGAACTTCTGGAGGCCAGTTGTTCCACTGATTCATTGTTTTCCCTGTCAGGAAATTCCTCCTGAGTTCTAAATTGTTTCTCTCCTTGATGAGTTTCCACCCGTTTGCTTCTTGTCCTGATTTCGGGTACTTTGGAGAATAAATAGCTTGACTCCCTCTTCTTTGGGGCAGCCCCTGAGATATTGGAACACTGCGAGATCCAATTACCCTTTCCCTGCCTCAATATGGTTTGTACTATAGATCCGGCACATTGGATTTCTGTATGATGCTGTCGGCTGGTCTTTGGAAGTCTCCCAAGAAATGCTACGACTCCTCCACCGTGGGACGAGCAACGCTGCTCGGATGTGGGAGCAAAGTGGACTTAAGCGACTCCTACGGGATCGCCTCCCCGTGTACCTGAGGAGCCTTCAAAGCATCCTGCAACAAATCCAGCTGGAGCTGCAAAGTAAGCCCGGATGGGTAAAAGAAAGGTGTAAACTACAGAGGGAAACAGCAGCCTTGAAGGACAGGAAGAAGGCAATGACCAGATAAAAGAGTCTTCCTCCCTATTTGATACAAAGATAAATGGGGAGCGGGAGAGAAACATAGGCAGATTGGCAGGAAATCTATTTATGTATTATTATTTATTAAATTGTTGTCCCACCTTTATTACTTTATAGGTAACTCATGGCAATCAATATAAATGAGCCACAGGGGTGCTGTGGTTAGAGTGCAGTACTTGCAGGCTACTTCTGCTGACTGCCGGCTGCCTGGAATTTGGCAGTTCGTAAAATGAGGACCCAGATTGTTGGGGGCAATAGGCTGACTCTGTAAACCACTTAGAGAGGGCTGTAAAGCACTGTGAAGCGGTATATAAGTCTGAGTGCTCTTGCTGTTGCTCTTCCTTCCTTCCTTCCTTCCTTCCTTCCTTCCTTCCTTCCTTCCTTCCTTCCTTC